CAAAAAAAAAAAAAAAAAAAAAGAGGAATCAGGCATATTGCACCAGATAAAAAGCAAGAAAAGCATGAAGAAAAGGGTTCCAAGCACAGAGAGAAGCATGTGTAAAGTCACAGACAGATGAAAGCATGTCACATGCACGAGGTGCAGGCACTCTGGCATGGGTGGAACATGGAGTGTGAGGAAGCCAGTGTGCAAAGTTGGGGATGCCTTGTTGGACATTCTGAGGAGTTTGGTGTCGGGTTGAAGGACACCTGGGAGCAGGCTGACAGACTGAAGCTGGAATGTGAGCAGGTGGAGTAAACCACACTGAGAAACCAACCTGACAGCATACGAGGCTGACAGCATACGAGGAGTGCATCGAGGGAAGCAAGACCAAAAGCAAATTTCCGGTGTAGCCGGAGCCTTCCAGGGGAAATGGGACGCAGGTCAGTCCAGGGTGGTGGAGCTCGATGGAAAACAACCGGCTGCAGTCAATCAAAGACTGTCACGGAGCCTTGGGGAGCAGACAGTCCTGGGCAGAGGGGAGGCACAGGAACATCATCTCTAAGAAGGTCTGCGTTACAGCCTCCAGCATTATCTTCATAAGTAATTAGTTACCCTACTGAACTCATTTCATAATTTGATAATTTAGAGAATGAGCTATTTTATATCTGTAGAACAAATTTTTACCAATTTCATAAAATTCAGTATTGCTGCAGAATGCCTTTAATCCTTGACCAAAGGCATTTTCTGACTCTGAATTTGTCTCTGTCAACTACTTGCATCCTAAATTACTCACACTTATTAGCTCTTTATTTCCTGTCCCATCAGTGTTCAGTAGATTGTATATATCCCCATTTGTTGTCCTGCGTTGCTGATGTGTACTGACTATGTTGGTAGCATGTCCCATTATTAACCAGAATTATCGGGTGTCAGTTTTTCATTAAACTCTGGTTGACTGTTGATGTAACCATTATTTATAATTGAAAAAGAAAAAAAAAAAAGCAAAAAAGATGACCGTTTTCTCTAATATTAATATTGAGGTTAAGTAAATTAATGTACATCTACTAGAAGTAGTATGGGGCTATGAAAGGTGGTAGTATGTTAGGGCATTCAGGCTGCTATAACAACATGCCTTAGACTGGATAACTTATTAACAACAGAAATTTCTTGCTCACAGTTCCAGAGGCTGGGAAGTCCAAGATGAGAGTGCCAGCAGATTTGGTCTGATGAGGCCCCATTTCTCATAGATAGTTCCTTCCATGTATGCTTGTCTGGTGGAAAGAGTGAACAAGCTCACTGGGTCTGTTTTATGAGGCCACCAATGCCATTCATGAGGGCAAAGCCCTTATGACCTAATCCGCTCCCAAAGGTCTCACTTCTTAATACTGTCACGTTGGGGATTAAGTTTCAGCATATGATGAAAATTTGGGGAACAAACATTCAGACCATAGCAGATGGGAATAAAGGTGGGGAAAATGGTTGCAGTAGAGCGATAGAAGAGTAAGTGAAATGTAATGAAATTGCACCTACGTTTGAGATTTTTAAGGCTTTTAAAAATTATATATGAATAAGGCTATAAGAAAAAAAAACAGAATGCTAAAAAAAAAAACAAAAACAGAATGCTAACCCTGGTTGTGTTAGGGTGGTAGATTTAAGGATATGTTTTCTGAGCTTTTCTTTTTGCTCAGCTTTTTATGGATAATATGGTTATAATGCTCTCATAATAAAATATGATTATTTACAATGGCAATACAATTTTTTATTGCTATTATTTGGAAGCAACAGTATGAAATATTTTGTGTGAAAGCATTGTGTTGTTTGAAGTCTAATGAAAATATATTTATCCAAAAATACAGATTTTCATTTTACCCAATCTCTACCCTTCCCCAATCCATACTAGGTTTAAGTTCTTTGAGAATTTTTCCAAATAAAAGGAAGATTTTGTCTACTTTTAAGATCCTGAAGTTCTTGAGTATAATCTCCCTCCTCCCTTTTTTTAAAGAACTGAAGAGACAAAACAATTCCTCTTTTGATCATTTCTGTAAGCACTTTTGAAACTTACAATAAAGTACTAATTCAGCCAGATAATTGAATGCTCTCCACCCCATACTATTGAACCTATAGGTTCTGCATTCTCATATCTAGAGCGCTGACCATTCCATTTCTCTTGCGTACGGTGAGCCTTCTCCACCTAGGTTCCCTGCTCCCTGAACACAAGGGCAGCCCCGCTTTTTACAGTACACCTTATTTAAGCTTTACATCAGTTTTGTGAGAAAGGAGGTATCATTTCCACTTACAGGTAAAACCTGATTTTTGTTGTAATCACCATGACCTTTTTGTGATTTTTCTTTCAAGTTAAATTAGGCAGGACCTGTTGGAGAGTCCAGATGTTGATGCCTTGAGGGTAGGATCCATACTTGACTCAGCCCCTTTTTTTGACACAGATTAGGCAGGTTTACCTGCTCGTGTAGCTTTTGCCAATTTCTTATTCAGCTTCTTTTGAAATATCTTCTCATTTTGAGTGTGTGTTACCTGCCTTTTCCTCATTTTACATGTTCTTTTCTTTGCTTGTTTTTTTGTTTTTGTTTGTTTTCTGTTGTGTTTTTTTGAGACAGGGTCTTGCTATGTCTCCCAGGCTGGAGTGCAGTGGCACAGTCTCTGGTCACTGCAACCTGCACCTCCCGGATTCTTTTTTTTTTTTTTTTTTTGGTGAGATGGCGATTTACCGTTGTTGCCCAGGCTGGAGTGCAATGGCGTGATCTCAGCTCACTGCATCCTCCGCCTCCCAGGTTCAAGTGATTCTCCTGCCTCAGCCTCCCGAGTAGCTGGGATTACAGGCATGCCACCACGCCCGGCTAATTTTGTATTTTTAGTGGAGATGGGTTTCACCGTGTTGCCCAGGCTGATCTCGAACTCCTGATCTCAGGTAATCTGCCTGCCTTGGCCTCCCAAAGTGCTGGGATTACAGGCATGAGCCACTGTGCCCTGCGCACCTCCTGGATTCAAGCGATTCTCATGTGTCAACCACCTTGAATAGATGGGATTACAGGCGTGTGCCACCACCTGGCTAATTTTTGTATTTTTAGTAGAGATGGGGTTTCACCATGTTGGCCAGGCTGGTCTCAAACTCCTGACCTCAAGTGATCCACCCTACTCGGCCTCCCAAAGTGCTGGGATTACAGGCGTGAGCCTCTGTACCCAGCCTTCTTTGTTTTTAGTTTTGTTTTAAGAAATTCCTTTAAAGTTCATGTTAATGTTTGAGCTGTAGTTCTCATGGCGTGGAGATTTTGTGAGCAATAAGAAAATCTATTAGGATTTTTTAGTTAATGCTTGATTTTAAACGTGGAGATAAACGTAAGTGGAAAATATGAGAAGAATAAAGAACATGGATTTTCTGTTATTCAAAGAAAATTAAAAAAATTTTTTTTTTGCATTTAGCAAAATCTATTTTAAATGTTTATGGCAAAGTAACAGATAAGCCTCCGTTTCCACATTTGTCTAGTATATTATAATGAATGATCAGACGGATTTGCATGCAAAGGGTAGGAGTATAGAACTCCATGAAGAACTTCTCTAGACCATCGCTTTCTTGTTTGCACTTGTTCCTTTTTCAGTGTGTGGATCTGAGCTGTAATGAGCTAAGCGAAGTCACATTACCAGAAAACCTGCCTCCCAAACTGCAGGAGCTAGACCTGACCGGAAACCCTCGCCTTGTCCTTGATCACAAAACCCTGGAACTACTGAAGTAAGTATTCTGTAAAGCACTGTATCCCCATCATTGTCCACTGGCAGTGGGCTTCATATCTCAGTGAAAATGGGAAACAAAACATGAAGCATCATTGACTTGTTAGCTGTGTTAACACACATAACAGGATATACAAGATGCAGGGAAGCAATGAACAACCAAGATGTAACTTAAATCTAAGTAGTCACTGATAACGTGGTTGTGACAGTTAATGCAAATGTTAAGGAAGGATTTTAAAAGAGATATAGGGAAAACTAACAGTGTGGCACTGAAATCCAGGTTTTTTAAAATAAGACGGAGGATGTGGAATAGGTAGATCCTACCAGCAGTTAGATCTTCACGGTATGGGAAAGAGTTCATTGATGCTGTTTCATTCTTGATATTGATAAAGAATTAGTGGTTGGAATTTTCTATGTAAAACCTTAAAGGTCTGCAGTAGGAAAGATATCTTAATAAGAATGTTCATCATAGAACTCTAAATAGTCTATTAAGAATTAAATAATGTTCCACAAATGAGTATTACAAAGCCATTTAAAATTATTTAGAGCTATATCGCTAACTCAAAAGATCTTTACAGTATATTAAGTGAAAATATTAATAAAATTAACAAAGAAGTTTTATAGTATAATTCAATTTTTGCAATATAAATTTGTGTGCATTGGGTATATGTACATGTGTATGCATACACACACCTAGAAAATGCCTGAAAGGATATATAACAAAAGTTAAAGTGGTGTTATTCTCTGGATAATAGTATTATGGGTAGTGTTTATTTTCTTCTTTAAACTTTTCTGAATTTTCAGAATTTTTTGGGGCATATCAGATCAGTAGTAGTTTTAAACATTGTCATACATTAGTCATTATGCATGCAATATATGTTTATTCAATGTTGGAATATTTGTTGTTGAAAGTCATTTCCCATTATTTTAAGAAAATCAGTAAAAAACAGTAGATTTTTGGTGAATGGTCCATTAATACTATCCTAGGCTGTAGTGCAAACCAAAGTTTGAAAAGCACTTAAAGTGATTCCTGGATAGAATTGGCCTAATTAGTGCCTAATTTGTTGGCATTTTAAGTACTTGATGAGAAAATTAATTTTGATGCATAGTTGAAAAACACTGCCTGAGTGTCCTGAGGAAGGCGTAGAGAACGAGGTTCTCTCCGTTGTTGATCACGTGTATGAAACCTTGGCCTAAACCCCTCCATCTGTCCAGACCTATGGGAAAAAAAATGGCCTACATGATCTTTAAGGTGCCTTTTAAATTCAAGAAAATAATGGATTATCAAAATAGGTCATCTTTAAACAGATAGCTTTTGAGTATTTTTTACATGTAGGATACAGACATTTTTGAGCATTCTTTACAAATAAAATTGAAAAATAATTGCACCAAAATGTGTTAATAAATGGAAGTAGCCACTTAGAGGAAAATTAAAGTTACATTCTTATATCACACCAAAATCCAGCTGAAATAGTTGAATCTGTAAAATTAAATGATTTTCAAAAGTAATAAGGAATCATGTGAATATCTTCACAAGTTAGAAAAAGACTTTTTAGGCCAAGAAATGAGGGGAGTAAGTGGCAAGAAAAGAAATCAGTACATGTAGATTGGTTTCAATGTTTACATTGCATATGTTTACATGTAAATATACTTTTTATACATTAAAGTGTTAAATGTCTATTTCCTATTTCAGAAACTCAATAAATATAAATGGCAAATGACAAACTGGGAAGAAAAATATGAAAAAAGCTTTAATATGCTTACTATAAAGTGTTCTTATAAGATAAGTACTTATAAGAAAAGTACTCAAACAGAAAATAAACAAAGGACATTAACATTTAACAGAAACAGTACAAATAGTTACATGAAAATGTGTTCAAACTTATTAGTATATCAAGTAAATACAAAATAAAATACTTGAATAACATTTTCCCCCTCGAACTGGTGCTGCTGAAGGACTGTAATTTGGTATTACACTCTTCTTAAAAGCAGTTGCTGTACTGTGTCAAGCTTTTTAAAATATTCACGTACTCAGACCAAAGTGTCCTGTAGCAAAAAATGGTAATATTCTTAAAATGTTACCTTCCGTTTAACATCTGGAAGGCTGTGTATTCTTAATGACTTGGAAGATTTTCCGTATATTATTTGCACTTTTAGAGGGTTGGTTTATTTGTTTTATGTGAGCCGGGTAGGTGCATATGAGGACTCTTCTGTGAGATTGAGCTGTGGTTCACAGAATTCTCTCTGACTCATTTAAAGATATACAAGATGGCCGGGCACAGTGGCTCACGCCTGTAATCCCAGCACTTTGGGAGGCTGAGGTGGGTAAATCACCTGAGGTCAGGAGTTTGAGACCAGCCTGACCAACATGATGAAACCCTGTCTCTACTAAATACAAAAAAATTGGCAGACAAGGTGGCGCATGCCTGTAATCCCAGCTACTCGGGAGGCTGAGGCAGGAGAGTCACTTGAACCTGGGAGGTGGAGGTTGCAGTGAGCCGTGTTACGCTATTGCACTCCAGCCTGGGCAACAAGAGCAAAACTCCATCTCAAAAAACAACGATATACAAGAGTCAGCATTCAGTTCACTTCGGATAACTGCTCAGCCGCACTGTGTTCAGCTAGACAGAGAAGAGAAATTGCTGCTTCACTAGAAAGAATTATTTGTGTGCTGGGGAGAGGGGGCAGTTAAGAGTTATTTTTTTTTTCCCCTTTAATAATCAGGTTGGGAAATTGAATTATTTCTCTGAAGACTTTGTGTTCTGTAAAAATTATAAATGCCTTTAAAAATGAGCCTTCACTTTTCCCAAGACTTCAGGATGGTATCTAAGAGCCTTAGGATATGTCTTAAGAAACCTATTGTATTGCGTACTATTTTAGATGGTTAAAATTGAGTACCAGGTCATATGGAGAGCAAATAATGGAGAACTGTCCTTTTTTTTTGTTAATGCCTCTTTTATTTATAGAATTGAAAACTTTGAAAAAAAGATTTAGCTCTAGGCTTATTGTAAAACAAGGTATTAACTTGATTTGGGAATTTTCTATTGACACTAGATTTATGTTTTTCAGGATAAGATGGAAAGTAAATGTTTGCTAGTAATTGAGAGTAGAAACTTTTCTTTAACCATATATTTTTAAATTTCAGAAAAATTGCCACCAGTTATTTCTAGATTCAAAGGGAATACTAGGTAGATATTGGTTTACTTTTTAAAGCTTTAACTGGTTCTTAGGAAAGGTATATAGTATTTGTTAGATTTGGGAGTAATGAGTACCAACAGATAATTTTAATTCTTGTGGTTATGACCAAAACTATGTAGGTGTTGCTTCAGTTTTCAACAGATAGTATGTATACTTTTTCTCTTGTTTAAATAATAATGAGGGGGAAACTTAGTGGCAATTTACCAGTAAGAGGACTTATTTCACCTTGTGGTAGCCAGCCTTTTAACAGACTAGTTTACATCTGTTAATGACTTCCTGTTTAGGGGCACAGAATGCTTTCTAGAGGCTGATTTTTATTTATTTTATTTTTATTTTTTATTTTGAGACAGAGTTTCGCTCTTGTTGCCCAGGCTGGAGTGCAGTGGCACAATCTTGGCTCACCACAACCTCCACCTCCCGAGTTCAAGTGATTCTCCTGCCTCAGCCTCCTGCATAGCTGGAATTACACGCATGCACCACCATGCCCGGCCAATTTTTTGTGTTTTTAGTAGAGACGGGGTTTCTCCATGTTGGTCAGGCTGATCTGGAACTCGTGACCTCAGGTGATCCGCCCACCTTGGCCTCCCAAAGTGCTGGGATTACAGGCATGAGCCGCCGCACCCGGCGAGGCTGATTTTTAAGAAACGCTATTTGAGAATTTATCCCTTTAGTGTTTCTGTCTTGGGTCCTGTTGGATCAATTATGGCATATGAGGGCTGAGGTGAGGTAAGAAATCTCCCAGTTTAAATACATACAGTTAACTTGTAATTTATTAAATACTCCTCATTTACTTTGTAATTTTATGTATATGTTTTATTTTATGATATTAGTCTTAGCATACTTGGCTATACCCATGAGGAGAGTATTGGAAGCTCCAGGGAACTGCAAGTCCGTGATAGTATTTGGAGGGGTTATATGGACAGAAATTGGATTTGGAGATGAATATTGCAGAATTATCTCACATCATCTAAATGCATTATAATTGTGGCTTAGGTGTTTTGTTGTTGTTCTTTCTGAGTATTCATGGTGTAAGAATACACCCATCCTAATACTTAAGTTTTGTTTTCTCATGCCAAGGCTGAGAGCTGTCCTTGTCATTCCCAGGAGAGAGCAGTCATCTAATGTAGAATGTGTGAAAGTCTCTAATAGCTGCTTTATGATGCTCATTAAAAGTAATTTTCATGCTCTGTATGTATGCCCCTTCGTTTTCATTACAATGAGTAGCTCGTTCTTGTTGCTGATAAGTATTTCAGACACATTAAACACAGTAAGAAATGGTAAGTACAGAGTGCTTAACAGGTATTTTTTTTATTTCTCGGATAAAGATAGCAATTTGCACACATTTGGTTTTAATGATTCCTGTTCCCTCCTTGTTTCTCTTGTTAGTAATATCCGCTGTTTCAAGATTGATCAGCCTTCTACAGGAGACGCTTCTGGAGCCCCAGCTGTTTGGAGTCATGGTTACACTGAAGCTTCGGGGGTAAAAAACAAGTAAGTCAGATGAAACTTCAGAGGAAGGACTGCCTCCTGCCTGTCTCACTCCTTTAGTTGGGTAGAAAGAAACTCAGTGCTGTAGCACCCACTTTTCTCATGTAAAATTTCTTTGAGTATTCCAAGTTTCCCCAGAGTGAGGCTCCCTCATGACTGATGTTTGAACATTAAGGGAAGGCCCTGTTTGGAATCACATAGTCTCCCTTAGTAGGAGTCGTTGCTAGGATACAAGGTAACTGACACATTATATCTGTGTAAGACTCCAGTGTTTGGAAAAGGCCTAGGTATTGAAATGCATCCCTGCTCCTTTGAAAAGCCCCTTTATCTTTCTCTGACGCTTGTTTACCAAGCAAAACAGAGATAGTATTAAAGGAGAAGTAGCTTAATTGTGCATATTTAAGATCACTCATGTTATTGACTATGGAGCTATTTTTACAATCTAAATTAGATTGGCAGGAGTTTGATGTCCATTGCCTCTAATGTCATCTGCTTGTCTTGCGACCAGAACTTGCCCATCTTAATATCTTTTTCTTTTCCATTTTCCCCACCCTCCCCTCTCTTAGATACAGATGTTGATTTTTCCTGAAAAATGTAACCAGGCTTTTCAGGCTTGCTTGTATTATATGAAGAGGTGCTAATAATTAGTACCTAGACAGGTAAAGAATCCTATAAATTAGAATGGTCATAATTTAATGAGCTGAAGTATAAGAACACAGAAGTCTGAAAGTAGGGGAAGAACAGAAAGTGGAGTTAGATCTAATAATAGCTAACATTAGTATTCAACCCTGGGCACACATTAGAATCAGTAAGGTAAAGAAAATTTTTTAAAAGTCTCCCAACCTAGACTCATTAAATCAGAATGTTTCAAAATCTCCCCCAGGTGATTCTAATATGTGTCTAGGCTTCAGAACCACCGACTAGCTGAATACTCTTCATGGAAAATAAAAGGTTTGGAATTGTTGCTGCCATTCTGCCTGCTTTTCTTTGGGACAGAAAACAGCATCAACTCAAATTCTGGATCTGACACATTGATCTTTTCCCCATTCCCTAAGGTGTCATTTGGCCTTGTGCTCTCTAGAGAAGAGTTAACAACTCTGTTCTCTTTGCTCAGAAAAGGCAGAATAACCTGAGGAGGTATGCCTTAGTTCTGCCTGGGCTCCAGCTACTCCCTGATTTCTATGGACTTTGCACAGTATGTCATTGTGTTGGGGCAGAGGGGAATTGTGTATTCTTTAGCGCACTCAAAGTTTCTTTCTGGAGATCATTACTTTTTAGATCAAAGGATCTTTTATGTCTTCCTTACAAACACCGGTATGTGAAACTGCTCATTTCTGAACACTAATGTGAAATCTAAGATTAGTTTTTAATATCTCTGTGTATTAATGTCTATTATCTACTCAATGTGTCTTAATGGAGCAAGTAACCAAGTAGATCTGGGTGGGCTTTTCGGCATAATTCCCCCTTCCACAATTGTGTCACATAGTACAATGTGTGGACAGCAAAGTACACTACAACCCTTTGAATTGTTCTAAAGTGAACACACCTTCAGACTACCACCTGCATCCAGAAATAAAAAATGAAGAGTCATTGAAAGATATAAATAAATAAATAAATAAATAAATAAATGAATAGAAAATGGACAGCATCCCGGTAGTCCCAGGCTGTGCTTTGCCCTCACTTGCTATGTCCCCTTGCTTTTTTTACCCTTTGGTTTTGCCAATAAAGGTTTCTCGAGAGCTTTTTGTTTGTTTTTTTGGTGTTTTTTGTTTTGTTTATACTTTGTTTGCGTTGTCAATGGTCATTTAAACAAGCAGTTTGCTGCTTGATACCTTGAAAGAAGGGGAAAACTGTGGTTGTCCTCTCTCCAAATCTCAGTAGACATCTCTTCCTCCTTTGGGGAAACCTAAGAGGGAACTACAGTTGGATAATTAGCCTCTTTTTTTTTTTTTTTTTTTTTTTTTTTTTTTTTTTGAGATGGAGTTTCACTCTTGTTGCCCAGGCTGGAGTGCAGTGGCACAATCTCAGCTCACTGCAACTTCCGCCTCCTGGGTTCAAGTGATTCTCTTGCCTCAACCTCCCAAGTACCTGGGATTACAGGCACCCGCTACCATGCCCGACAAATTTTTGTGTTTTTTGTAGAAATGCGGTTTCACCATGTTGGCCAGGCCAGTCTTGAACTCCTGACCTCAGGTGATCCACCTGCCTCAGCCTCCCAAAGTGCTGGGATTACAGATATGAGCCACTACTCCCAGCCTAGCCTCTTCTTTAGATTAAAAACCAAACAGGAAACTTCACCAGAAAAGAAATGCTGAGAATGATTACCACTGTACTTAAGAAAAAAGAAAGAAAAAAAAACTACATTACTGTATTTTTTTTTTTCCTCTTTCATACTGCCTCATTCCAGCTAGCAAGGGGAGCCTACAGAAGGAAGACGGAATAAAATGACTTTAAAATTTAACTTTGCCACTAATTGCCTTATAATTTTGGATAACTTGTTTTTCTTAATAAATAGAGGCAAGAATTTCAAAATATTGAGATAGAAGCCAGACTGCCTGGCTTTGCACCTGAGTTCTATACTTTCTTGCCGTGTGACCATGGGCAGTTTCTCAGTCTCTCTTTAGCTAAAATAAGCAATAAGAAAAAACTACCTATTCTCATGGTGTTGTTAGAGGATCACGTGAGTTAATATGTATGACATACTTAGAACAATGTGTGCCATATAATAAACCCTATTTAAGTGTTAACTACTACTATTATTGATTATAATGGTCATTGCTATTATTATTTATCCCTGAACTCCTTAAAGGGAGGGATTATATTTTTAAGTTTATATATCTGGTATGTAGCTGTGATACATAGCAGGTGCTTAATAATTTTTTTCTCTTTATTTATATATGTAAGAAGGTATACTCTATATTCAGTAAAATTCACCCTTTTTAATGTACAGTTCTGCAAGTTTTGGGGAAAGAATATCATCATGTGTAACCACCACTACAGGGTATAGACGAGTTCCGTCACCTACCAAAATTTACCCCATGCCCCTTTTTGTCAATTATTCTCCCCAACTCCTGTCCTTGGCAACTCCTGATCTGTTTTTTATCTCATTGATTTTGCCTTTTCCAGAATGTCATATAAAAGGGAATTATATAGTATATGGCCTTCTCAGTCTGACTTCTTTCCCATCACATAATGTTTGAGATTCATTTGTACTATTGCATGTGTCAGTAGTTTGTTTCTTTTCATTGCTTTTTATTCCTAGTAGCATTCCATTGCATGGACATATTATGGTTTGTTTTTGTTTTACCCATTCACCATTTGAAGGATGTTTAGATTGTTTCAAGTTTTTAGCAGCTGCAAATGAAAATGCCACACGTTGCAAACAGTTACATACAGGTTTTTGTATGAATGCTTGTTTTCATTTCTCTGGGGTAAATGCCTAGGGATAAGGATTGCTGGGTCATATGGTAAGTGTGTATTTACTTTGGAAGAAACTGCCAAACTACCAAACTGTTTCCAAAGTGCCTGTATCATTTTGCACTCCCAACAGCAATGTCTTAAGAGTTCCAGTTTTATTGTTAGGTTGCTGTTGTTTTTTCCATTTTAATAATAATATCTCATTGTGGTTTTAATTTACATTTCCCTACTCTTTTCATGTGTTTATTTATCATCCATATACATTCTTTGGTGAAAACTTGTTCATTCACAATCAAATGTAATATTAGCTCTAGGTATTTTTGTAGACACCCTTTATCAAGTTAATTCTCTTCTATACAGAGTTTGCTAAGATTTTATAATGAAATCTTAGTTTTTATAATAAACAGATAACACATTTTGTCATAGGCTTTTTCTGTGTCAATTGAGATGACTGTATGGTTTTTTTTTCTTCTTCAGTCTGTTGATGTGCTTAATTACATTGATTGATTTTAAAATGTTAAATACACTTTGCATTCCAAGTGTAAATTCACTTGGTCACAGTGTAGTATCTTTTTTTTTTCTTTTTTTTTGAGACAGATTTCACTCTTGTTGCCCAGGCTGGAGTGCAACGGCGCGATCTCGGTTCACCGCAACCTCCACCTCCCAGGTTCAAGCGATTCTCCTGCCTCAGCCTCCTGAGTAGCTAGGATTTCAGGCATGCACCACTATATCCGGCTAACGTTATATTTTTAGTAGAGATGGGGTTTCTGCATGTTGGTCAGGCTGGTCTCGAGCTCCCGACCTCAAGTTATCCTCCCTCCTTGGCCTCCCAAAGTTCTGGGATTACAGGCGCGAGTCACCACGCGTGGCCTGAAGTATTATATTTCTTACATGCTGCTGGGTTAGATTTGCTGTTAATTTGTTGAGGATGTCTATGTTCCATGGTGGATATTGGTCTGTAGCTCTCTTGTGATGTCTTTGATTTTGGTATCGGGGTAATGCTGGCCTCATAGAATGAGTTGGGAAGTGTTTCCTCATCTTGAGTTTTCTGGAGGAGTTTGTGTAGAATTGGTAATATATCCTTCTTAAATATTTAAAAGAATTCACCAGTGAAGCCATCTGTGCCTGGATTTTTTTTTAAACCTACAATTTCTTTAAATAGGATTATCTCTTCCTTCTTCTTGAACAAACTTTGGTAATTTGTGTCTTTCAAGGAATTTGTCTGCTTTATCTAGTTTTCAAATGTATTGAATGTATTGACATTATGCTTTTTTTTTTTTTTTTTTTTTTTGAGAGTCTCACTCTGTCACCCAGGCTGGAGTGCAGTGGCACAATCTCGGCTCACTGCAGCCTCTCCCTTCTGGGTTCACGCAGTTCTTCTGCCTCAGCCTCCTGAGTAGTTGGGACTACCGGCGTGTGCCACCATGCCCAGCTAATTTTTTATATTTTTAGTAGAGACGGAGTTTCACCATATTGACCAGGCTGTTCTCGGACTCCTGACCTCAAATGGTCCTCCTGCTTCAGCCTCCCAAAGTGCTGGGATTACAGGCATGAGCCACCATGCCTGGCCCATTATTATGCTTTTAAAATCTGTAGAATCTGTAGAGATATGCCTCCCCTCTCTCATTCCTAATATTGGTAATTTGTGTTTTCTTTTTTTCTGATCAGTTTGATTTGGTTTATCAATTTTATTGATATTCTCAAAGAACTAGATATTTTTTTTTGTTTTATTGATTTTTCTCTATAATTTTTCTGTTCCACATTTCATATGTTTTAAGGGTTTTTTGTTGTTGTTGTTGTTGTTGTTGTTGTTGTTTGAGACAGAGTCTTGTTCTGTTGCCTAGACTGGCCTTAAACTCCTGGCCTCAAGCGATCCTCCTGCCTTGGCCTCTCAAAGTGCTGAGATTACAGGTGTGAGCTATCACAGTCAACTGCTTTTCTTATTTTTATGATTCCCTTTCTTCTTGCTTTGGGTTTGTTATGTACTGCTTTTTCTAGTTTCTTTAAATGGAAGCTTAGATTATTGATTTGAGACCTCTAATTCTGTAATATAAGCATTTAGAGTTGTAAATTTCTTTCTAAGCAATTTCGCTAATATCGTTGGAGAACATGCTTTGTATGACTTGAATCTTGTAAACTTATTTGGACTTGATTTTTTGTCCAGAATCTTACCTATCTTGGTAAAAGTTCTGTGTGCATTAAAAAAAAAAAAAAAATTGCTGTCAGGTGTGGTGCCAATTAACTCAAGTTGGTTGATATTGTTGTTCAAGCCTCCTACCAATTTTCTGTCTACTTATTCTGTTTATGATTGAGAGGCTATGAATATGGATTTGTCTGTTTCTCCTTGTAGTTCTATCAGTTTTTGCTTCATGCATCTTGAAGCTCTGTTAAGTATGTAAACATTTAGAATGATGTAGCCTCTTGATGAACTGACCCCTTTATCATTATGACTCTCTTTATTCCTGTAACATTCTTTATTCTGAAATATACTTTGTCTGATACTAACATAGCCATTTCAACTTTTTTTTGGATTAATGTTAGCATGGTATACCTTTAAAAAAATCCTTTTACTTTTAACCTATTTGTCTTATATTTAAAATGGATTTCTTATAGGCAGCATATAATTAGGTCTTGTTTTTTTATTCAGTCTGAATTTTTTGTCTTTTGGGTAGTGTTAAGGCCTTTATATTTAATGAAATTATTGATATGGTTAGGTTTAAACCTTCCACCTTACTATTGTTTTCTATTTGTGCCGTCTGTTCTTTATTTCCTTTTTCTTCATTCTTTTGAATTATTTGTTATGATTTGATTTTATCTTTATTCATTCTTACTCTACCATGCGTCTCTGTGTGTACATGTGTGGTTTGTTTAGAGTTTATAGTATGATTTTTAACGTACCACTGTTTACCTTCAAGTAGTGGTAATGTCATTTCACATATAAGAACCTTGCAGATATGTGCTTCTTCTCCTGTCCTGGCCTTTATGCTGTTGTTGTATGTTCTGCTTCTATCTATGTTATAACCTCCAAAATACATTACTATTATTTTTACTTTAGTTATTTTCTAAAGCAATGTTTCTCAACTTTAATACCATTAACATTTTGAACCAGATAATTATTTGTTGTTGCCTCCCAATAATTATTAGAATATTATTGAATATTCTATTGAGAATCACTGTTCTAAGGTGATTTTTAAAACAAGAAAATGAGGCTGAGCACAGTGGCCATGCCTATAATCCCAGCATTTTGAGAGGCCGAGGCGGGCGGATCACTCGAGGTCAGGAGTATGAGACCAATCTGGCCAACGTGGTGAAATGCTGTCTCTATAAAAAATACAAAAATTAGCTGGGCATGGTGGCGAGTGCCTGTAATCCCAGCTACTCGGGAGGCTGAGGCAGGAGAATCACTTGAACCCGGGAGGCAGAGATTGCAGTGAACCAAGATCACACCACTGCACTCCAGCCTGGGTGACAGAGTGAGACTCCATCTCAAAAAAAAAAATTTTAAAAAAAACATAAGGAAATGTTTCTGTTGACTCACCTGGCTGTCATTATCGTTGTGCTTCATCATTATCGTTGTGCTTCATTCTTTTGAACAGGTCCGGATTTCCATCTGGGATCATTTTCTTCTACCTTAAGGATTTCCTTTTCCATTTCTTTAGTGCCAGCCTGCTGGTGGTAAATAGTTTTATTTGTGCATCTGGAAATGTCTTTATTTCCCCTTAACTTTTCATAGCTGTTTGTACTGGCTTAGAAATCTAGGTTGTTTTCTAGTTGTTTTCCATTGGTACCTTCAAGGTGTTGCTCCACTGTCTCCTACCAGGTTTCCAGGGAGAAGCCTGCTGTTGGGCACATCCTGGTTTCCCCACTCTACCTCCCGCCTTTGTTCCTGGTTTCTAGCAGTTTGATTTTGATGTGTCTCAGTTAAGTCTTTTTCATGTTTCTCTTGCTTGCAGTATCTGTAGGTTTATAATTTTCTTCATATTTGAAATGTTTTCAGCCATCAACTCCTCAAAAGTGTTTTCTGTCTCTTCTTTTGAAGACTCCAATTCCCTGTAGTATATTAGGCTGTTTGAAGTTGTCCTGCCACTCACTAATATCCTGGCCTTATTTTTTTTTTCCAGGCTTTTTTTTTTCTCTCTGTTTCATTTTGGACAGTTTCTGGGACACAGTTACTTGGAAACAGTTTGATTCTTTTGAGTTTGGGGTGGAGAAAGTCTCCAAATTTTCCACAGGTGTGGGGAACCACTGTCCTCCTCCAGTACACTGACTGGAGACTCTGGTCACCCTGTCCTCCTTCAGCCCCCAGCTCTATCTCCTCAATGCACAGACCACAGCCTTCACCTGGGTCTTCCTCCCTGTGCTGCAGCCTGGACACTTCCCCAGGAGAAAGCTGGGCGGGAAGCAGGCTGTCTCCAGGATCACTGACCTGTGCTCTTACTGTCCAGTTGGGGTTTGTTTGTTTGTTTTTTCTGCCTTTTAAAAAAGTTATTTGAAGACTGGGCATAGTGGCTCACACCTGTAATCCCAGCACTTTGGGAGGCTGAGGCTGGCAGATTGCTTAAGCTCAGGAGTTGGAGACCAGCGTGACCAACATGGTGAAATCCCATCTCTACTAAAAATACAAAAATTAGCTGGGCGTGGTGGCGTACTCCTGTAGTCCTAGCTACTCAGGAGGCTAAGGTGGGAGAATCGCTTGAACCCTAGAAGTGGAGACTGCAGTGAGCCGAGATCACACTACTGCACTCCAGCCTCGGTGATAGAGGGAGACTCTGTCTCAAAAAAATAAAAATAAAAATAACTTTTGTAAAGTCATTTGAGGCTTTTTCTATATTTGTGCATGCTTTTCATATAGGTTTCATCTATTTTTCCCAGTGTTTTCATTGTCTATTTTGGCTGGATGTGGAGATTCTCCTTAATAACTGCTTATTGCATGAATGTGTAGATACGGATTCCTAATCTCTTATTTCCCATGACTCTTTTTCCCCTTCTGTCACTGACATTTAAAAATAAACTCATCAGAAGAGAAGCACGTAGGAAGGCATGTGTGAAGCATAATTTGTGCTCATCCTTCTCTGCTAATCAAAATTTGCTGATAGAAATTAGCTGGAGTCAGTTTACCTGCCCATAATCTGTCTGGAGTCACGAAGAAAGAGACAAAACTGAGATAGGGAAATCTTGAAATAAATAAGCACTGGGCTGGGCCTGGAGCAGGAGGATGAGTGGACTCAGCACAGAAGTGTGGTTGCCTTGCAGGTTGTGTGTCGCAGCCCTGTCGGTGAATAACTTCTGTGACAACCGCGAAGCCCTCTACGGTGTGTTTGATGGAGACCGGAATGTGGAGGTGCCCTACCTTCTCCAGTGCACCATGAGTGACATTTTGGCTGAAGAGCTGCAAAAAACAAAAAATGAAGAAGAATACATGGTCAATACATTCATTGTCATGCAAAGGTAAAACTCAGAGTTCCTGCTTACCTGCTGTATGTTTTTTTGCTCTTTGAGTGTTTATCCTCTGTGTTTTGACTATGAGTACCAAGATGCATTCAGGCAAGTTTGGTGTTGCCCAGGCATCAGGAATGGTGCTCCAGTTTGAGACATACTGATGACTGATGTTCATATAACTTTGTGGAAGGCTCCGACAATGACAAGAAATTAGTTTCTCTGAGAACTGGACCTTACTGGCCTTTATTGATTGCAGATTTTCATCAGATTGTTTGCAATGCCATTTTTCCTCCCAAATCATGTGAGCTCTGGAGGCTTTTTAGACTTTCTGGTGTGGAGACCTCTCTTTGAAATGGACCGTTTCTATCCTAGTTTCTTGGCCCTTATGAAATACTATCACTGGTTTGAGGTAGTGCAAACCTTTGTTAAATCAAGGTGGTCAGATTTTAGCTCAGGAGTTAAATCATTCTTTATATTTTGTTTTCCCCTTTATTAAATGTTCAAGACAGTGGTACTGGCAGAATCCTAGGCCATAGCCTGGAGTTTCCACCAGCAGCAGAGTTTTAGGTTGCTATAGAAATTGTGGTATATTGTTTGTAACTCTTAGATGAGTGAGGATTCCCTCATTCAAAGAATTGTTCATTCTTATCACCTTCATGGCTTTCTAGGTGATAATGGAATTGCCTATCTATAAATATTGTACTGCAGACTCGCTCATGTGGGACCCAGGAGTGATCAGCGTACTGGTACTTGAGGTCATGATAGCAGTCATGGTCTTTTGTCCTTATCTGTTCTTTCTCTCCCTTGATACTCTGCCAGAGCAAGTAGCTTTGTTAAGGGGGTAGAAGTGTCTGGGGAGGAGTGTTTAGAGCAGCATTTACAGTGATACCTGCGTCTCAAATGGTTCCTCTCAGAGAGCTTGGTGGAGGCAAGCCTGGGGTGGTTCTTGCTGCTACAGTCACCTCTGACTTTCAGATTCTCAGTGAGCATGTACAATTAGCAATTGAACAATAATGACTAATATCCAGCAAGCCCTTAATATGTACCAGTCATTGTTCTAAATTTTACCTTATGTGTCATAAATTGTTACCAGTTAGCGGAGTAATGTTACTGAAAGTGATGTACAGAGAGGTGAAGCACAGTGCCTACGGGCTAGTATGTAGTGCAGCCAGGACCTGACCTCGGGTTGTAAGACTCCAGAGGATGTTCTAACTAGCAGGCGCATCAGCTTTCCTGGTTTTACCACCCTTTTGTTCTAGAAAAACATCTAGCATGTATCATATGCACACACATACACATGTGCACACAGACCAAAGCACAAACACATCCCTTCACAACCCCCAAGAGGTCTGCTTTTTATGCACCCTCAAGCACTGGGTAAGAATTAAACACTGAGAACCCCAATCTCGGATTACTTGCCATACTTTTTACGAATCACTGTGCCTAGGAAAGGGAGAAAATGGAGCTGCCTTGGAAAGGTCTAGAGCCAAATACCTGAAAGTTGGAGTTTAGGAGCCTAAACTGTCGGCCCTTCTCCAGGGTCTTTTGTGTTTCTCTTATTTTCCCTATCTGTTAAGAGGGTATGGGTTGTGTGGTGAGCTTTGGGTCCTTAGGGGAACTGGTCTTTGTGCAGGATTTCCTAATGCATGCAAGTAGGCAGCCCTGGTTTCCATTGCTCCTCTTGCCAGTTGCTTACCTTACACATGTGATAGTAGCAGACAGTACCTTAGGGTCTGGCCTTGTAAAACAGGAGGCTGTTTTTCTTAACTTTCTTGCTCCTGTGCCACTCAGGAACAGCAGGGGCCTGGGCGGTGTTACCATTTGTGGGGCTTGCCATAGGAGTTCATGAGGCCATGGGAGCAATAATGGTCTTTTGTCCCTCTCTGCCGTTTCTCTCCCTTGATAATCTGCCAGAACAAGTAGCTTTGTAAGAGGGGTTTTTGATTTTTGATTTCCGGAATTTGCAGGTGCTTCCTATATTTGATAAGTCTGTGGATTAATTGTCATGATTAAAAAGATAAATCACAAGCACTTGGTATTCGATTACTAGAATGTCCTTTCTATGAGTTTTCTAGAATAGAGTTTACTGGGCCAGAAAGTTTTTACTATATAGGGCAGGAACATGAACACTCCAATACTTAAAGGCTCCTACCAACAAACATCCTTATAAGGGGGAGAAGGTTGTCAGGTTTTTCTGACGTGTGCCTGCCAGTGGGGTAGGGTGTTTATACCTGCTCTTATGTGCATGGTTTTTTCAATGTTCCTCTCCTGTGGACAGAGGGAATTTAGAGAAGCAGATAGAGAGAGAAGTCATTTTCCTGCTGTCTTTGGAGTGTGCTGATAGGGCAGTGTGGTTGACGAGGGTAACAGGCTGTATACAGCAGCCCAGGGGCATCTGCCTTCCAGAGCAGCACCTGTGGCTTTTAATGGTACAGTGATACTGTCTCCCAGTTGTGAGCCTCTCTGTGTGGATGTGTGTGGTGTCAGATTCCGGGGCTCTTTTCATCAAAGAGGCGGAGCAGTGTGTGCTTTGATGAAGGAAGCGGAGTGGAATCCCCAGAGGTCTCCTTCCTGGCCCTGTCCAGTGGTGCAGTCTTCGTGTTGAATTTGCAGAACTGGCACTGATGGACTGTGTTTGAGTGTCACCCCCTCTCTTCGGATTCCAGGAAACTTGGAACTGCTGGGCAGAAGCTTGGTGGTGCCGCTGTCCTTTGTCATATCAAGCATGACCCTGTGGACCCAGGAGGATCCTTCACCTTGACCTCTGCTAATGTGGGCAAGTGCCAAACAGTTCTCTGTCGAAATGGAAAGCCACTGCCTCTGTCCAGATCTTACATCATGAGCTGTGAAGAAGAGCTGAAGAGGATTAAACAGCACAAGGCCATTATCACTGAGGTGAGAAAAGAGGGCTTTTCCCCAGGATGGTGGAGAGGAAAGGAGACCAGGTCGTAGCAGAAACTAGCTAGGGAGCATTTGCCTTCAAAAAACACTTTTTGAAGTTGGTTCGACATTAGAATTCCAAACCCATAGTATCACAAAGCAAATGTCTTACGTTATGACGTATGCTTGTCAGTTGCCTCTCTGCATCAGGCACTGTGCTGCGTGCTTCGTGGGCACGATCCCATTCCATGTTTGCAGCCACTCTACAGAGGGCTGCTTTGGTGGTTGAGGGCTCTACCCCTGACATCACACTACTAGTTTTCATGTCTTAGCTCTGCCACTTGCAGGCTGTAACCTTTAAACCTCTCTAAGCCTCAGTTTTCTCATCTGTAAAGTGGGAATAATCATGCATCTGTCCTATCTTACAAGGTTGGTACGACTTGTAAACTATGAAGGTCTATATAAGTGTAAGTCGTTGTTATTTTGGTTCATGTCTCACGTCCCATTTGAGTACACAGTGAGCAGTTCTCAGCTAGGGGCAGTTTGCTTCCCCACAAGACGTTTGGCAGCATATGGAGACATTTTTGGTCATCACAGTTGGGGCGGAGAGTGCGATTGGCATGCAGTGGATTGAGGCCACTGAGCATCCTACAGCGCTGCTGAGACAATGCCGCTCAACACCCCACAATGCACAGGGCAGTCCCCACAGCACGGACTGTGGTGTGTGTGTTTGGAGGGCGTGTCTCAAGGTAGAGAAGTAAAATACAATACAAAACAAAACCTCATTGTTGAGTATTAAGCAATGCAAACAAAAGCGGGGAAGAGGCGAGGCACGGAAAACAAGGGAAGTCTGACGTGCAAACCATGATTCATGTAGGCCGCTGAAATCATTTACCTTCAATTGTGTTTGGCATAGTGTTGAACTAAAGTTGAATTCAGTGCATTCTGTCCACATTAGACTGTCTTCTGCTCCCTAACACAGTGTCTGCCATCCATGTTCATCCTCTCTGCTCCAAGAATTGACAGAGAACAAATTCACAGAGACTCATTTGCACAGAATCCCATGTGTAGCTTGAGTGTTTCTGTTTCTTTCTTAAGGCCCTCATCAAAGCCTATGTGGAATCAGTCTTTTTTCTCTACTGGACTATAAGCTTTCACCAGAGTCCACCTCAAACTGTACGTGGTTCTGTGGGTTTTATCAACAGTGTAAGACTGGGAACTTCTTGAAGGTAGATGTTTATCTGCAGGTCACTGCTGTCTGCCCATGTCATTTTTTCAGGCACAGGGCAAATGACCGACACCTTGATGAATTAGCGAATGGAGCAGAACTCCTGGAGCCCATGTTGGAAGCTTCAGTGCTCATGAATCACAAAACCATTGGTTCTGATGGAGAGAAATCTAAAGGGATGGGCAGAACAGCAAGAACAGTTTCTGCCAAATTCCATGCTTTGGGGACAGATTATGTCAGTAGAATCAAGGCAGTTTAACGTTGTGCTTGAAGCCCATCTTACTAATTGTACTAATAGGAATGCTTATCTGCTTATAAGTGTGGTGTGGCAAAGTTGTGTGAGAAGCTGGGAAAGACATCCCTAGGACAAGCAGGCACCTTGCCAAATCCCAAATAAAGGAAAGTGGTAGGACTGGAAAGGAAATGGATGTTCTCTGGAAGAAACACTTGCTCATCCCAGACAGGGATTTGTTGTAATGAAGCCTTTCCTGGAAAGAGGTGTTAAAACTAGGGCATGTAGAGATATGTCATGGACCTTAGAATCTCAAAATTTGAAGAATAAAGAACAAAGCAGGTACACACGGAAAAAAAAATCTTTTTATTGGCAAGTGGTCTGGCACTTTGGTAATTGATTTAAATAGCATGCACACAGCTGAACTAAAGCCAGCAGATCTTGCCTTCTCCATTGGTCAACAGGAAATCAAGTTCGAGGAAGTTGTAAGAATTGGCATTTCTTCTTTAGCATCTGTTCTCCTGACAGGAGCATTCTTACCCACCTAGTCATGCCAAGGTTTTCTCCACCTCTTAAGTACTTTCAAGTCCTCTCTGGACTTTTAGACACTACTGCCACTTGTGATCATGGAGAGCAATGGAAGATTCAGGAGCATTGTCTTGATATATGCCTGCCTCGTGTATCTTTGCTCAGGACTGGTTTCTATCAGAAAGACTCTTCCTACCTCAGAGTCTTCCTACGCCCAGCCTGTCTGAGGGCCGATCCTTGATCACCATGTTCACTGAGGGAGGGAAGATGTAAACCCACCTTTATAGGAGGAGCTGGCCAGCTATGCTTGCTGTGTGTAAGGCTAGATGGTTTGCTTTAGATAAACAGCAGGACTTGTGACCTAGTGTGAATGGGGTCCCAGTAACACACATAACCAAAATCTTTTCCTTTTGTCCCTACTGCTCCTTACCTGCCCAGGCCTACTACCTGGCGTTTCTGATGACAGGTGCACATTAACTACTCACTAGAGAGTGAGCCCTTCTTTCCTCTGTGGGCCACACAGCACTTCTTTGTGGTCCTACAGTTGAGACAGTCGAAGGACCCGCAGGGAACCTGCACAGTTGCCACAGGTGCTCTGTATTAACTGTCTGTCTGCAAACCCTTGTTCTTCCAGGATGGCAAGGTGAACGGGGTGACTGAGTCCACGCGCATCCTGGGCTACACCTTCCTCCACCCCAGTGTGGTGCCTCGCCCCCACGTGCAGTCCGTGCTCCTGACCCCCCAGGATGAGTTCTTCATCCTAGGCAGTAAGGGGTTGTGGGATAGCCTGTCCCTCGAGGAGGCCGTGGAGGCAGTGCGCAATGTTCCTGACGCCCTGGCTGCCGCCAAGAAGCTGTGTACCCTGGCCCAGAGCTACGGCTGCCACGACAGCATCAGCGCTGTGGTGGTGCAGCTCAGTGTCACCGAGGACAGCTTCTGCTGCTGCGAGCTCAGCGCCGGTGGGGCCGTGCCACCACCCAGCCCTGGCATCTTCCCTCCCTCAGTGAACATGGTGATCAAGGATCGGCCCTCAGACGGGCTGGGCGTGCCGTCCTCCAGCAGCGGCATGGCTTCCGAGATCAGCAGTGAGCTCTCCACTTCCGAGATGAGCAGCGAGGTGGGGTCCACAGCCTCCGATGAGCCCCCGCCTGGAGCCCTAAGCGAGAACAGCCCTGCCTACCCCAGTGAGCAGCGCTGCATGCTCCACCCCGTCTGTCTGTCCAACTCCTTCCAGCGCCAGCTGTCCAGCGCCACGTTCTCTAGCGCCTTCTCCGACAACGGCCTTGACAGTGACGATGAGGAGCCCATCGAGGGCGTCTTCACCAATGGCAGCCGGGTGGAGGTGGAGGTGGACATCCACTGCAGCCGGGCCAAGGAGAAGGAGAAACAGCAGCACCTGCTTCAGGTGCCAGCAGAGGCCAGCGATGAGGGCATTGTCATCAGCGCCAATGAGGATGAGCCGGGTCTGCCCAGGAAGGCAGACTTCTCTGCCGTTGGGACCATTGGGCGCCGGAGGGCCAATGGCTCTGTTGCGCCCCAGGAAAGGAGCCACAATATGATAGAGGTGGCTACAGATGCACCTCTTCGAAAGCCTGGAGGCTATTTTGCTGCCCCGGCTCAGCCAGATCCCGATGATCAGTTTATCATCCCCCCGGAGCTGGAAGAGGAGGTCAAAGAAATCATGAAGCATCACCAGGAGCAACAGCAGCAGCAGCAGCCACCACCGCCACCTCAGCTCCAGCCGCAGCTGCCGCGGCACTACCAACTGGACCAGCTGCCAGATTATTACGACACGCCACTATGACCCAGCCGAGCTATTTAACAAATAAACTAACCACAAAATACCAAGTTGCAAGAGTCTCTCAGGCTCACATTAAACCAGGGGTTTTACTCCACGTCCTTCCCCCGGACACTGTTCCCAACCTGTCGTCGCAGCTAATCTGTAGGTTCTCTTTCTTTGGGTTATTTTTTAAAATAATCACCACTTTCTTCTAGTGATGCTTTACCAATATGATTTACATTTGTTAACTTCTCCCCCTAACATATCAGATATGTAAAGACAAAGAGCAAAAGGTTTAATATATTACAGAGAAATAGTTAATGATAATGTGCTATTTTTTAAAATGGCTTTTTGTTGTTTTGTTTGTTTGGAAGGCAGGGCAGGCTGCCGTTGCTAAATGATTTAATAATATTGTAATTCTGTATTTCTTTGGGGGGAAAAGGATTTTTTTTTTTTTTTTTTTGGTCTTGAAAATAATAGACATTTGTAGAATATGGAGACTAACTCCTAGGAGTTGCTTTACTCTGTCAGGTGACTTCAGTCACTGGGATTCACTAATTTTCTCTGAGAGAACAGCGATTGAGAATTTCTATTGTAAATAGCTCAGTGTTGTATAGTGAGGCTTACGATGTTTTGTAGTCTTGGCGTGAGGACACAGCCCAAGTAACTGACGTTTCCCCTTCCCCTCCCCTCTGAGGAGCCTGCCTGCCTCCCAGCTCATCCTCACTTCACTGAATGAGGAGGCTGAGCAGCTGCAGCATTTCTGTCCAGAGGAAGTGGATCTTAGGCCACCACACAAGAGCCTGCACCCAAAGGCCCTAAACCCGTTTTCCTCCCTGTCCCAGCCTCTCCACTTTGACAGACAATTTTTAACTGTGTTCCTTACTGCTGCCACAATCAGCATGGCTGTATAGTGCCCCATTAGGCCATTTACATACCCAGAGTTACACTCAAGCAGAATGCACAAACGGACATGTCATAATTTTTGTTATAATAAATATGAAATTTACAAGTATTTACAAGTATCTGCTTTTGTCTCAGCAGCCAGCTGTGTCTTGGAGACAGTCACACTAGCTTGGGTTTGGAAAGAATGGATGGAATATTGGGGTTATCAGATATTTCTGATTTTTTTTTAAAGAGAAAAACATCCGTTAACCTACATTGAATGAAATGTGAAATTAACTGAATGGTAAACAGTATAATTAGCTGATCTTATAGCTTTTCTTTTCTTTTCTCTTTTCTTTCTTTTCCTTTTCCTTTTTCTTTTTCTTTTTCTTTCTCTTTTTCTTTTTGAAATGGAGTCTCACTCTGTCTCCCAGGCTGTAGCGCTGTGGTGTTCTCTGCCCACTGCAACCTCCGCCTTCCGGGTTCAATTGATTCTCCTGCTTCAGCCTCCTGAATACTTGGCATTACAGGCACACACCACCACGCCCAGCTAATTTTCATATTTTTAGTAAAGATAGGGTTTCACCATGTTGGCCAGGCCAATTTCATACTCCTAACCTCAAGTGATCCGCCTACCTCAGCCTCCCCAAAGTGCTGGGATTACAGGTGTGAGCCATCGTGCCAGGCCTGATCTTACAGCTTTTCTATTTCTTCTTATGACTTAGGGTAAGATGTTTGGGTACTTCTTAGGGAAGATGTGAGAAGGGGGACAGACAGAGGTTGTACAGATAGAGGCGATCCCTGGACAACTTTACTCTCACGAAGCCAAGATGGTTTTCAGTTTTCCGGGGGCCTGTAGCTCACATAAGCGGGTTAAGCTGCCTCTTACTGGGACAGGGTCAGTCGAGCTGGTTGGCTTGCCCTCCACCACCAGCAGGAATCATGTAGGTGCAGCGGCGTATCCTTAGAAAGCCAGTATTCCCAGTTACTACTCAACCGCATTTACAGACAGTGGGCCTCCGCCCTCACCTCGCCCCCACCCTGCACTTGGGAACCGTGTGTGGAAGATGCTGTTGGTCTTCATTTCACATGGACCACCTTCCTATGTAGACCTGGCTTCCTTCTTTAGGTCCGCCCTTGGGTGGGACCTGGCTAGTTCAGTGACAGGGTAGTTCTTATTTCTTAAGTAGTAGACTCGGTGGTGGGCTCTGCATCCCCCTCTAGGAGGCCGCTGGGTGGACTGTGTCTTCATAATGGCCGTACTTCACTTCCATGTCAGGCTACTTGCACACAGTGCTCTTTGGAAACCACTGAGGCCATGGAAGAGAATTGCCTTATCTCGGCCCAGTAGGGACCCAGGGACCAAGGGAGCTGACTCCCCAGTGCAGGCGGAGCACTCTGGCTGAGACTGGAAGCTGAACCACCTCGGGACCCCTGCCCTGGTTCACTTGCCAGCCCCTTGCCTTCTCCCTGGGGCTGCCCCACTGGGTTGAAGCAGATGTGGACAACTCCAAGCTTTCACACCAATGCCTTAGGTCCTGCAGGTCTGGGCTGGTTCTCTGACTTCCTCAGTTCTTAAATCCACCTCTGGGCAGGGTTCACCTGTCCCCGTGGCTGGAGCAGACCCAGGCCGTGTATGTGGATCTCTTCCACTGCAGCTCACTTCCAGAGCGGTCAGAACCGGCTCAGCGTGGTCCACGGAGGCAGCAGTCGCTTCCAGATTCTAAAATCGGCCCCACAGCAACTCTGGCCAGGGCAGCCCCTGGGACCCAGAAGCTGTGATGCAGGGACGCCTCATTTCCTAACTTCTGTGTCTGCTGCAGGAGAAAGGGGTATGAGACTTGGAATTGCTCTTTTCCTGAGTCCTCCGGTTTAGTTGTGCTTGCTGCTGGGTTTATTGTCTCTTACGGTCTCATTGTGCACATACTACATGTAAGGCACCTTGGAGACATGGAGTGAGACTCTGCCCTTTGGAGGCTTGGGGTAAGTAGGGCATTTAGATGAAAAGCTAATTCAGTCGAGCACATGATGAGTGACCAAAGTGGCACAGACTTACTGATAGGTCTCCATGCTCTTGCATGGGAGCTGCCTCAGTTATTTCTGAGGAGTTTCTTTGCATTTCTGTTTATCCAGATACCATCTAATAGTATATGTAGAGCTGCTTATACAACTGAAAGTGTTTTCTGAATATTAAAGTCCTTAATATTTGAAGATCCCTGAAGCCACAGTGTCTGCAGGGTAAGTGCTAAGGAGAAGGGCATCCCCGCCTGCTCTATTCCCTGCTTCCTGCTGGAAATCCAGGTAATTAGGAAAGGGCTTTTGAGGGGAGAGAAAGGAAGAAATGAAAGCGAAAGGGGAGAGCTCTGGTGAGCCCTGCCAGGAGAAGAGCCCCCGATCAAGGACCCTTGAAACTGTTTGGTGTTGGATCCAGTGCGTGCTGCCCACCCTGTGCTGCCTTCAAGCTTCCTGCCCTTTGCTCCCGCTCCTGAACACTGGCTTTGATGAGAGGTAGCAGAGCCAATCTCTGGGGCCTAGAAACCCCACCTGCCTGCCTTGGTTTCTCTTGATTGCTTTTGTCACAGCACCACCTGCTGGTAAGCTTAGACTTTGGGTGGAAATGGGCTTCATTCTTCTTTATCCTTTCTTCACTTTCCCAGAAGAAACAAAGTGTTTAAGTTTCTTATCACTGTATTTTCCTAAACACATGATAGCAGTCTCCTATACCACTGGCAAGGATAGCAGAGAAGCTGTGTTTCCGCTTTTGTTTCCGCTTTTTAAGACAGTAGAAGTGATGACAGCTGGTTCCTGTGATGAGCCTGATTTTCCTTGGGAAATCGACATGCAGAAATATTAAGATGTATAACCAGAATCATATAGTTTTGCTGGGAGAGAAGTCTGTCTTCAACATCCATCTAATTTCCAATTCCCCTTTCTCCACGGTTAAAAAAAGCGAAACACAAAGCATCTGTTAACATGTTTTGGACCTCATAGGATAACACCTGAGAGTCCCCTCCCCACTGGCACTGCAGGGGAGAGAAGAATTCCATTTGATCATGTGAACATTCATCAAAGGGTATTTTGAGTTCATTCCTGACATGGTATCAGAAGATAGAATTTCAGGCCGGGCACGGTGGCTCATGCCTGTAATCCCAGCACTTAGGGAGGCCGAGGCAGGTGGATCACCTGAGGTCAGGAGTTCGAGACCAGTCTGGCCAACATACTGAAATCCCGTCTCTACTAAAAATACAAAAATTAGCCAGGTGTAGTGGTGCATGCCTGTAATTCCAGCTACTCGGGAGGCTGAGGCTGGAGAGTTGCTTGAACCCAGAAGGTGGAGGTTACAATGAGCCGAGATCACGCCACTGCATTCCAGCCTGGGTGATAGAGACTCTGTCACACACACACACAAAATTCTTATTATTATTATTATACTTTTAAGTTCTAGGGTACATGTGCACAATGTGCAGGTTTGTTGCATATGTATACATGTGCCATGTTGGTGTGCTGCACCCATTAACTCGTCATTTACATTAGGTATTTCCCCTAATGCTGTCCCTCCCCCTGCCCCTCACCCCACAATGGACCCTGGTGTGTGATGTTCCCCACCCTGTGTCCAAGTGTTCTCATTGTTCAATTCCCATCTCTGAGTGAGAACATGAGGTGTTTGGTTTTCTGTCCTTGTGACAGTTTGCTCAGAATGATGGTTTCTAGCTCTATCCATGTCCCTGCAAAGGACGTGAACTCATCCTAAAAACAGATAGAATTTCTATAAAGTGTGGATTTCTTGTATCTGCCTAACCTAACTCTCCAGCAATCAAATTAGGTCATGTATTTGAAGTAATTTAAATGCTAAATACTAAATACATGTAAATATTGTCATTGCTACAAATGAAGGAACTAAGGGGGGTCTGAAAGAAAATAATGGGGAATGCAGCAAAAGCACCTTTTTAAGCCAGGTATGGTACTGTGGGCCTGAAGTTAGTCCCGGCGACTCGGGAGTCTGAGGCTGGAGGATCACTTGAGCCCACGAGTTCAAGGCCAGCCCGGGCAACACAGCAAACCCCCCCGTCTCTTTAAAAAAAAGAAAAAAGTACCTTTTTAAAAATGGGAAACTCTTAAGGCGTTATTGAAGTTGTTACAGAAGGAAAAGCACTGGTAATGATGGAGAAAATGGGCTTCTCTCGTTTGTTGCATTTCATTTTCCTTTCAGTGCATCTCTGACTCACACTGTACAAACTAGTCTATGGAAACTCTTATTTCACTATCGTCATTTATCTGTTGTGAACTGATTCTTATTGCTGTGTATTTGAAAGACGGCTCTAAGGTGGTTTTTTTCCCCCTAAGCCTCACCCCACTCAGCACCAAAATTACAACAAAGTTCCGACCTAGTACAGCGAATCTATTGCTCTGCTCAGTAAATGAATGTAGGAATCACATCCAGCAGACAAAGCTTTGGGCTGGTGATGGAAAGCACACGCCACCGCTCACACCCACCTGCTTCACTGTGTCCGTTCATTCAGCGTGTTTAGGAAACACCAGTAAAGAGCTGGTTACCTTGCGTGACTGTGCCTCACCAGCACGGGGCCTTGAGAAAATGGCTTGGTGTGGAGGTGGCTGTGCTAACCTCATGAGGGTGTGAGCCAGCATGAGGATGGCCTAAAGCCCACACGAATGGCAGAAGCCAGTGTGGAGGCCCCCTACATTGTCCTGTTCCTTCTGGAAAACTAAGGTTGAACACTGCCAAGCAAATGGGCAGATGGGTCCCCAAGACGGCCGTCCGTTTCCTGGGGTGTGTGATAGAAAGCAGGAGGCTATGCTGTCCCCAGCGCTGATGTGAGTACCCATTAACAAGCACGGCATTTCTCGAACTTCGGTTCATTAGTCCCTTCATTTTATGCGCAGTCAGAAACACAGTGTTCTTCTATCCTGTTCAGAGGGGGAGGCAACAGAACACTTGGAGAATTTTCTTCCATCTGCTCGTGACTGGAATTACTCTGATTGTCATTCCTCCACTTTTCTAAGGACAAGGAAGGAAAACTGCCTGCACTGAAATCACAAGTACTTTCTTGTCATTTGGTTTCTTAGGTCTTATTCCATTCTGGTAAGCTGGCACTTTCCCCTAATTACCAA